CGACTTCTTCACACGGGTGGGGGTAAATGGAAGAAGAGCACAATGACGACCAGGGTTACGGCGCCAATGGGGGAGATTGATCTTTGTTAGCGGTCAGGGAAAAGTGCTTGTGGAGGGAAGACCAGCGCCTACGTAGAAGCACCTGAAAAACTCTCAGTTAGTTATCGGGGCTCTGGGGACCGTCCGGGGCTTACCATCTCCAACTTTGTCGGTGAACGCGCCCCCTAGCAGCGGGCACAAGACACTGGCGACACCTACGAGGTAGGTGTTGAATCAAATGGCAACGTCGGTTTCGAGAAGGCGATACCAAAGACAGCACCGATTAATCCGACATAAAGAGGTCGTCTTTCCATCGGTACAGTGTTTGCGAGGATGATCATGGCGCCAGAAAAGATACTAGCACTACCGAGACTGACAATGGCTCGGCCGAGAATGAGAGCCGTCGAATTAGGAGCAACTCCGCATCGCAGTGAACCCAACTCGAATATCGAAATGGCGACCACGTATACCTGGGAGTTCAGATTGACCAATAGAAGCGAGAGATAGTGGGTTAAATAGCAGGGATATTCCGCCGGAAATCACGACTGGAAGTACTGTTCCAGGTGTCCCCGGAAGAGCCGTCAGTAGGAGAATTGATTTCAACATCGGTGCTCGCCAGAGCGTACCATGGTCCGACGGCTGTCGAGTTGTCGACTCGCCCACCCAAAGGAGAGGTGCGTTTGACTTACACTTGCTGTTCGGAGGTTATCAAGCAATCATTTGAATCCGACGCGTCGCACGATATATTCCAGGGCGTGTCATTCTGAAAGTGTGTGACAAAGCGGGGGGTTGTATCCTTGTCGTCGATGGTGCGCCTTGAGTCGCGCTTCAAAATGCGACGACGCCGCATTTAGCTGCCGTTATAATAAAATCATCGTTGCATCTTTAGAGTGTTCCAGCATACAGACACACCGACACCAATTTGGCTAAACAGGTGACGGAGGGGCATCAATAACAAGATATCTGCGAGCACCACCGCCCAAATCTTTCCAACTAGAGTTGCAAGATATGGTCAGCAAAAGCGAGACAAGATATGGTCAGCAAAAGCGAGACAAGGTTTTGACACAATTCACCAACTTTACTCGAATTCAAAGCAGGCCAAAAAGCCGGACAAACCCCGGACGTTATTCTGCCGAATTCCATATGCCTCCCAGCAGCACCAGTGTGTCAACCGCGGGCAGAAAGCAATTCTGGGGATGGACGGAAACATATTGCGGTATCCGCTTGTGGTTATCAAGCGCTCTCCGGTGATACACAGCTCTTGAAGCTTGCATCCAGATTTTATGATGAAGGATGCCAGTGTTTCGAGGGGGTCATGTTGTTCCGGGATTTGGAGTCTGCGCAGAGCTGGAACGATGAAGCTGAGGAGATAATCCCCAGCTGCGTCACTGTTCTCTACTGCGAAGGGGATCAAAACCAACGATTCCAAACAAAGGAGCGTTGTGTCGAAGTGCTGCACGTTATCGTCGGAGATGCTCAACTCGCAATGCACAAGGTTGACGGTGCGCTCCAAAACCGTGGTGCATCGAGATGGTATTGTTGCGATTAAGGTGAGGGAGGTCAATCGAGCCCAAGGGAGCAGATCCGGAGGATAGATGAAGTCCCATAACGTTGCGGTTGTTAACATGGGCGCGTCGCGGAAGGAGAGAAAGGATGCATATGCTGTGTCGTATGAAGAAATTCGAATTTCCAGCTGGCGCAGAAGAGGCATTGGTCCATCTATACGAGGCGGTGGCGCGCGTCCTTCCCCGAAGTGGACAGCGATGTACTCCCACCGCGTGCGGTAAGGAAGAATGGCCTGGAAGAATTCATCGTCGCCATCGCCAAGTTCCTCTGTTTCGATGGAAAGCGGGTACTGTCCAGATCTACCGAGCCAATTCTTTACCACTTCCAGATGGAAATCAGGATCATCATCCGAGTGGTTGAACGATATCGCTCTCCAAAGAGGTGGCATGGATAGCGCTATGTCTCTCCATTGGCGACAGATATGGGTAAGGAGCAGTGGCGAGAAGCATCCATATAACGGGAAACAGCGAGGATAGGCGGGTATAAAATGAAGGAAGATTTCGGAGACGAGTTCATTCGGCAGCGTCAAGACCGGATAGTGGCACGAATTGAGCCGTTTTTTTACTTGTTCCTCCTCCGCGTGGAGAATGTCGATGGACCGGCGTAGGTTCAGAACCTCGACTTCTATCTCTTCCAGGCGAGCCCGATCTGCGGCAGAGCTCCCCATGACGCAGAAAGGAAGTGTTGGAGAACAAGACTGGAGCAAACCGTCACCAACGATGAGAGGACTGCAAGCCAGCAAACGTTAGGCTTACGGGCGAATGTGTCGATGGTGGAAGAGCACAAGAAAAACGGCCATCACCGGGTCCGTGACTGCATCCGATGGCACCAATTCCTTTCACGGACCACCACGTCAAAGTTTCTATTCCCTGACACGACTCGGAGAACGAGAAGTCTTCGATGTTTCCAACTTGTCCGGGTCTCCCATTCTCCGGCTGACTCGGATTCTGTGAAGACTGGCAGCACTATCGTCAGAGAGTACTAGTACTCGTGCCAGTTCTCTGGTATCTCCCTCGCCCCCGCACTTTTTCTCATTTGCCTGAGCATCCTTCCGCACTCCCTTTGTCCGAGTCCTCTCTTCGCTCATCCGAGTTCTCAGCGTTTGCCTACGTGTTTTTCTTCTTCGGCGCGGACGTGTGGAGGTTTAAAGGAGTTCGAACTCAGTGTCGCCGACGCAATCCTCGTCGTCTAATTTCACAGGGGCAACCGGAGTCTCTTGGTCTTACGTTGGCCGTTTCTGGCACCTTTTCCCACCGTGTGGCCTATCCAACCAAAAGTTCGATTTTCCACATGAAACCGACCTCTAAGCCTTCCTCCAATGAACGGACGGTTATCCGTCAAGTAAGTAAACAGGGCCAAGACCCGTCCCCGCGCGCTTGAGTATCATGCTCTTGACCAGAGCCAGACCCCCGCGAGATGGAGTACGCGGGGGAGGTATATTGCCGATGGCTGCATCCGTATTAACGAATCTGACTACAAGCCAATATCTAGAACCCCTGGAGATGTGTTACGAGCACGACATTCCCTACAGCATACAGCCTCCTCCGACAACACAACTCTGCCGCTCGTTGGCCCTAGAAGAGTGCGATGCCTCGCCCAGGTCCTGCAGGCCGAGATCCGCGACTCGGACACTCTCCCTGTGGCACGGATGTATGATCCCCTCTATTTTGCCACCGACGAGGCCCATCGATTCCTCCGGATTGAACACGCTGCAGCGGTCACAAAGGAAGTCTACCATCGTTTGGCCGCTTATCATGGCGGGATCATCCCCAAGTTTCGAGGACTATTCGTCGAGGAGATTCCCTGTTCTGACCGCCTCTACACTGTTTTTCTAGAATAGATCGAGGGGAAAGACTTACATCAAACAATGGTGGATAGTACGACAGCAAATGTTTGCGCCCTTCACAGAGCCTCCGCTGTCAACGATGTCGCCAGGGCTGCATACTACCTCTATCGCAGCGGCATTCATCGCGACGACCTGATGGATAGAAACACGGTTATTTGACTTCCCGACATCACCTGGCGCGAGAACTTCTGCGATGCGGAAGGGTGCCCATGGCACAACAAGTTGGTAACGACCCGAGCGCATCCTCATGTTCAACGTATTTTTCGCATCGATCTCAAAGACTGTTGCTTCAAGGGCCTAGAGTAGAGGTCAGTGGATCCTTTCTCATTACAGGAAAGCCCTAATCCGGGGCTGGTATGTTCCAGCTACTGGGACAAAATGTCGTTCACTAAATCCTCGTACCATCGAGGTTGCTATGATTTCCCCCATCTGCGCTGGGCAATCACGCTACCTGTTCATCCCAGCCCAACAAATAACAAATAAACCCGTGGAACCCTCCGGAGATAACCGTTGAGTCCTCCGGCACACCCGTATGGACGCAGTGTCCCTTGTTTTTTCTGTTTGGTGTCTCCCTGGAAGTCGAGCAATATTGTGCTTTCGCTGTTGTACGAAGTCGATAATGAGAGGGGTACTGGACCGCCTGGTGGGTTAGAATGCGGTTTACACGCTCAAGGCCCAATGAAATGGTGCAGCTGGTAGAGTTTGAGCACACCGATGGTATTTCAAGTCACATTTCGGAGATGGGTGACGAACATTAAAGTTTTTCGGAGGCTCAGTTTAGTTTCCCACGGTTCAACACTCTGTGCATCATGGTTCGGGTATCGCCTCATGATTAGTATGCCTCGGCGATGGATTGATTAGGCAAGTACGCTTGAGTTGAGTCGCTGGATGGATTCAGGATAGCTCGAACAAGGTATGTCAACGAAGGCTCTCCAAAGGACTATAATACTTGCGATCAACGGCTACAGTGTTTCTCTGCTACTTGCGCCTTACTTACTTACCCCTCCGACCCATCGCCAGAGCTCAGGTTCTTTCTCATTTCTGTGATTTTGACAACCAGTGCTTTACACATTCGAGCTATGCCGCTAGTTCTGGGTCAATTCTGAGACTTTTGAACAAGTTCCTGTTCGATGGATATCATAAACGTGCCAGTGTGAACCGAAACATATAATAGTGTCTTGCGAAGGGTATTGCATGCAGTAATACCGATTCACTCAGGGTATCGTCCACCTCATGGCCCCCCTTTCTCTCTATTACAAATGCTACTCAAGTTGCATACGTCGGGGGCCAAAAGGGGAAGAAAGAAGTCCTGGAGCGGGAGTAGAGGCCAGTGGGGGACCCGGTGGCCAAGGTGATGGCTAAGGGGCATATCCTGAGTCAAAAAGTTAAAGGTGGAATGTGCCAGACAGGGCGGCAAAAGTGTAAATTCCCTGGCGGGGAATCGAACCCCGGGCTGCCGCGCTCGCCATTACAGACATCATACAGATATCTAGTTCTGATGAAAAGAAATTCAACATTGGGAGAAAAGGAGCGATTGAGGGGCAAAACGTTCCGATACGGGGAGTCGAACCCCGGGCAAGTGCGTACACGAAGAACATGAAAGGCACCTATGTTACCGCTACACCATGTCGGAGATGGCACCACACATACGTTGCGATCCTCAACGACGCGTATGGTGCTGTTTGGGCTTGACGCGTGGTGGTCTGTTTGAATCCAAGAGCTATCACCCCACCTTCCTCTTCACATCGATAGTTATCGATTTACTTCCGCCCCTCGCGCATTCACGTTCCGCGACAGATGTACCCGCCCCGAGATGAGCGAGCCAATGGGTGACTGCATTTAACCCAAACCCGAATTGTTCGACGGCGCGCTTCTCTGTCGCGCTGCTGAATGTGGAACCGAACGCGACGATCAGGCGGTATATAACGAGGACGCGCTCATGCGCTCGTTTTTCTGAGCGCCACTTGGGCTGCCCGTCTTTTTCTTTCCATAATCTCCCCTAGTTCAATACCCAACCCCAATACCCGCCGATACCCTCTTTATTCCATATCCTCTCATGGTTCTGTTTTCCAAGGTCGCTGCCAGCGATTCCGAACGTGTCGCCGCCAAGGTCGCGACCAACGCTGCTGCCGCCGACATTTTCACCTACGGCCTCGAGGACCAGGACCACTTCAAAGTGATCGTCGAACCGACGAAGCGCAACCACGACAACATCCTGCTAAAATGGGGAAACTTTGTCGACTGGAAAAACGACCCGACGCTTCCGACGGAAGTTACCCGCGGCGTGGAGCTACCGTCTACTGGTTCGTTGACGCCAGTCTATCCTCTAATCTTTTATTCATTTCTTTCAGGTGTTTTTAAAGAGTTTGTTACCTATCTCGCGCTCGGTCTCAAGGGTCGTCTCACCGACACCAATACGATTACGCGGCGAACCCTGAAGACACATATGTATACTTTTTTTGCCTGCTGGGCGCGGTGCGTTTGATTCAGAGCTTTATTTTCGACGTGGTATTCATGTTTTCTTCCCAGCTATGCTCAACAATACGTGCCGAAACCCATGCGAGACCAGGTTTGCGCCTTTGCCCAATCTACGGACCTCGCCGTGGCCAATGGTGGTGCGATTTCGACGACCATCCGCACCAAAACCACAGCCTCCTACCTCGACCTCGAGCAGACGATTCGCACGGCACTGAACGACACAACCATCTTCCGTACCACGCGTATGAAAATCCAGTTCAACGCGGTTAACACCCTGGGCGCTCTCAGCGGCGATCGTCCAGGCGGGATGATTGAGTCGACTTGTTACAAAAAGTCTAACGAGTGTATCAAGTGGAGTAAGCCCGAACAACGTGCCTTGGGACCGAATTCTAACGCATCGCAGAGGATATTTCATTCCACGCGGCCCCCAACGACCTCGATCCGTTTGAGCCACTCATCACAGCCGGCATCAGGCTTAGAAATCCGAAAGGTCACCGCGGCGACGAATCCAAAATCCGGACCATCTACATCGTCGTGGAACCCTTCGGATCTCGCGCTACCTGTCTCGTCACTGCTCTCTTGTACATGGCCTTTCAGGACGCCTACTTCCGCGATATTGAAAGTCCCGACGAAATCTTCTCACCCACGTTCGCCCCTACCGCCACGCACATATTTTCCATGAACGACGTCGTCGCGGAGCAACCGGTATTTCGCGCCGAAGTTTTGGACGAGCAGCGTCACTGGGTCATTTCCGAGACACGCGCGCTTTCTGCCGGGATCCACAACGACAACCTCAAGCGTGTGTGTTTCGTGCAAGGTGATCGACGTATGTTTCAGTCGCTGCCTTTTTTCCGGGACTTTGTTCATTTTTACTTCCCAGTCGCCTTGATGATGTACTCGTGGCGACGGATGGCCGCCGACTCCTTTGACGCGCATCTCAGGACTGTTCAGCGGGACGCGCTGTTGACCCACAATCCGAAGACACATCAGTATGCTGTAAGCCGCCCTTCTTTACGCTCGTCCCTACGCTGACGCTCTGCGTGTAGCAATCATACAAGAACACTCGTCTGACCCACGACCTTGGCGGGATTCTGCGCGGGCGAGAAGAGGATTCGGCAGTGGTCGCGCAGGCCAAGGTACTTGTTTCTGGTATTCTTTCATCGTAGCGGCTTATCCTTCTCTGCAGGACGCGGCGAGCATGTCCGTCGGTCGGGACGCCAACGCTCCTCGTGACCTCTCGCTCGAGCAGCGTGCTGCGCTCCATCGCGAGCCAGAGCTCATTGTGATGCGCGAGAAGATTGTGGAGGTATGTACGAACTCTCTTTCGTTCCGCCGCATGCCGACTCGTTTCAGTACAAGGCCGAAGTCGCCCGCCTCGTGCGCGAGCTCAAGAGCGTCGACGAAGAAGATGAAGAGGCGGACGAAATCTTTGCTGGTATTCAAGCGTCTTTGCGGTCCGCACGCAAACGGCACCGAGAGGCCCAGTCAAAGTACGATGCGACTGAAAATAATGAACGAACCATTCGTCTCAAGGCTGCGCGCGAGGATTTCTGGGCTGGTCACTCGCGGCGCCAGCTCAGCGGGGAGGTATGGGTCTTCTCTGGGTTTTCTTTCGTCTTTTCCTACTCACTTTTATTCCAGAGCAGCGCCCCCAAGCCCTCCATGGCCGTCGCCCGCCCCCCGCTGGCCGACAAGACGCGCGCTTCCGCCGCTCCCTACGTCCACCGCATGGTAACCAGCGCCGGCAAGGCAAACGCCGAGGACGAGCCAACGACTTACTTCCTTAACATTGCCCAAATCGACCCCGAGCAGCTTTTATGCGACGTCCTTTATCGTTTCTCGGACCGAAATTCGCCCCGGGAGTGCATCGCCGCCGTCAACGCCTACCTCGGTCTCCCAGAACGTCGATTCGCCCCATGTTACCCCGGCGAGTCGCCGACAATCGACGAAACCTGTCCGGCATGTAAAAGAGACTGCCGGTATGTCATGATGTCGCCCATCGCCCTCGTCTTGTTTACTGATTCGTTTTGTCTAGCGCGGCTGCATTCGTCGGCAAAGGTAATGAGACCGTCGGCTCGCACATACACAATTGCCTCGCAAAAGCTCAGCAGCAGCGAGTGCAAGCCTACGTCGAGGAAGAATACGAGCCCCAGGGGTGCGAATGGATCGGCTGCATCCAGCGGCAACTAGGCACAATCTACCCGACGCGCCCCGAGTTCCTCGATCATCTCGACAAACATATTCACTCGCTCGGGCTGCCGCCGAATGCCAAGAACCCGGAGCGGCCCTGCAAATGGTCGATCGGTCACGACGAGCCCTGCGGCGAGACGGATGTGGAGTTTGACGATTGGCTGAAGCACTTCGGCCAAGTCCACGCAATAAATGCACGCTCTGACGTCGAGGTTAATTATTGTGTTCTATGTCCCGAGTGGTACGTCTGTTTCCTTCTTTGTTTGGACGCCTCCTGACGCAAGTCTTACTAGGCATATCGACGAACTGGGGGATGGGTTAGGATGGGAAGGACACCTATGGGATCATTGGGAAGAACGATTCCGCCCTTTTAGCGAACGAGTCGAAGGCGAGGTGGACCTTGTACCTATCGGCGTCGAGTTCACCGCGGCTGTCGACAACTGCGTGGACTACACGAACGAGTCCGAGTTTGGCGGCGCGCTCCCCCAATTCCATGGACATGTGGCCCACGGCGTCGCCCACGCTCCCATGTTGTGCCCTTTCTGTGTCTTTGACGAAGCCAAACCGATCGAAGAGAGAATGACCCAGTATGTGTATTCGTTGCCCGGACCTCGCTCGCGTTAAACACCTTTAGGTTTACCAATAACTGGACGTATTACATGCATTTAACCATCCACATGCGCGAATACGAGGATACCGACGCTCCCGCCACCGCCGCCCTTAACCCCAACCCCGACGCCGCTCCCAATGCCAACGCCGACGCCGACGCCGACCCGGATGTCAACATGGCCGACGCCAACGCCGCCCCCAACGACGACGCAGACGCAGACGCCGCCCCCAACGACGACGCAGACGCAGACGCCGCTCCCAACGCCAACGACGACGCCGACGCCACCCCCAACGCCAACGCAGACGCCAACGCCGCCCCTAACGCCGACGCCGACGCAGACGCCAACAAGCCCGACGCAGCTCCGGAGGGCATTCTATGCCCGGTCCCGTCTTGCGGAACGCGCCGGTTCACCTTATTTGACTTTCAAACTCACCTAGTCGCCTTCCATCGCGTTCCAGTCTGTGGACGCAAAAACCGTTCCAAGTTTGCGCGACTGAAGCTTCCTCCTCCTCCTCCTCCTGCCGTTGCCGCCGCCGCGCCCGCGTTCGACCTCACCCACTCAACCGTTACCGTCCCCGACTCGACCGCCCTCGCAGCTGCCGCCCTCGCCGCCACACCGGCAACCCGTCCCCTCACTCTGCGCCAACAGACGATCAAGCAGAAACGGGAAAAACGCAAGCTGGTCGCCGCCGCCGCGGTTGTTGGATGGTGTTACGGGTGCAGCCAAAAGCGCAATAACATCGGCCAGCACATCCTGCAGACCAGGTGCTACAGCAAGAACGAGTACCACGAGTACAATGGCAGCGACCGCGACGACGAAGGGCCCAGACTTCACTGGGACTTGGAAGTGAGTACTTGTTTTCCTCCGTTGTTTTCTCGACACTGACGCCAACGATCAGGGTACCAGCGCTCCTCTTGGACAAGCCGAAAAAAAGATGCACCGATGTGTCACTTGCCGAGTTCTGTTTGTCCACATCTCGAAGCACGTCGATGACTCCGATTGCGCAGCGGTGGAATTCAATATCGTGATTCCTGGTCAGAGCCGCAAGTGGGGTCCCCCTCAAAACACACGGGACTGGCTCGCGGCCCAGGTACATTTCTGTTTTCTTTCTTCTCTTTTCTTTCTCCGCATTACGTTTTCCTGACATTTTGTAGGCCGCGCTCGCCCCCGCCGCACCGGTTGCGGGGCCTTCCAACGCCGTCGCGGGGCCTTCCAACGCCGTCGCCGAGTCTTCCAACGCCGTCGCTCGTCCCTCCCGACGTCGCTACGCAGATACACGAGTTGTACGTGTCTTCCGCTGCTTTGTTCTGTCCCATCCTCACCGCGCTTTAGATTCTTTCCGAAGACGAGGACG